ATTCATTTTTTTTTTTTTTTACATGTATATGTTTCAAGCTCAACTAGTTTTTCTTCATCAAGAATATTCCAATCTTTACTCCTTTTATGTCCTTATTATTATTAATACATGTACTATTAGGAATGCAATAGGCACAAAATGAATGTCTATAGGATATAATAATTGAAATACTTATAAAGATGTATTAAACTTGGAAAATTTCATACTTTTGTATATTGATTAGTTTCTGAATTTAAAAAGTAAGATTATAAAACCTAAACAATGCACTTCGTGAGCAGAATCCCATGATTCTGGATGCATTTTTAAAAAGTAAATTAGTGCATAATTAATTATTCCTTTAAGTCTGAAATCCAACTGCATTTACTCATATTAATAATTGATACTAAAATAGGATTATATTAAATTTATGTCATAAAATATACATGAGTTATCATAAATAATGGCTAGGAATGATTAGTATGTGACATACAATTAAATAACAAAATAATAGCAATAGAGACTGGAGATACATTAAACATAGTTTTCCACAATAATGAATTAAAATTCATGTCATAAAAATATTTTATTCTTTTTTTTTTAATCCTCACTGGAGGACATTTTTCCATTTATCTTCAGATAGAGTGAGAAGGAGGAGGAAGAGAGAGAGAAATATTGATGTGAGAGAGACACATCAGTTGGTTCCCTCCCATACAACCCTGACCAGGGCCAGGGACCGAACCACAACTGAGGAACATACCCTTGAAGGGAATCGAACCTGTGACTCTTTGGTCCTCAGGCTCACACTCTAACAATTAAGCCAAACTGGCCAGGGCAAAAATATTTTTTGTCAATGGTTTACTAAAAAGATAGAATAAAGTTGATATACATACTTAAAATAAAAGTAAATTTTTGCACATGACTGGGTTTAGAGTGGACTCCACAATAGTTTGAAGAAAATATAAGAACTGCCAGACTTCCGTAAAAGCCATACTATTGGATACAAAAGGGCAATAAGCAGAACACTTTAGTTGTATCCTTAAAAAGTCAAACCTCCTAATTTTATGCCCATGCTGCTACCACTCTATACTTTTTGCAGCCATAGAGCTACATTTTCCTATTCCTCTCTATATTGCCTAGTTTCTGCAAATTTCTAGCCTCTATCGTCACTCCAGTTACATTGCTTCATAATTCTACTGCATATTCATTTTGCTTTCTAATTTTGCACACTGCATTTCTGCAGTTCTCCTATACTCTAACTTATGCTAACCCTTATTATATAGGTGTATTATAAATAAATCCCTAGGGAAATTATGTGATTGGGACAGCTGATGGAGTATAAAGTGTTGCTAATGAGAAGGTCATTATCAATTAGGTCATTGGTGGCAATGTTTGTATTTGGTGGAAATAGTTGACAAAGTAGCATTCTAGCAGAATGGCTGTCCTAAAGCACGGCTGATACAAGGAAAAGGGGAAAGGGTAGAGTTTCAAGAGAAAACTCCAGTCTCAGTTTAGGAGTCAGAGATGGAACTTTGATCTGAGGACTGGAAATTGAAAGGGGACACCCCTCCTCGCCAAGCACCCACAGAAGGAGGAGCCACACTCTCTGCACACAAATCTCCCTCAGACCTTGCTCTTGAATTGAATTAAGAGTCTTGGCTGACGCTTAAATAACTCATGCATAGAACAAGGCTCCAGGAAACCTGGTGAAAAGCAAGAAGGTAAGAAGCTAGCAAATTGCTGAGCAGAGGTTTCAACTGCTGCCTGTTGCTGGCAAGATAAAATTGAGAGTTCAAATCCTACCCAGTGAAATGGGCTCTGTAATAAGCCTCATCCTAAGATTACAGACAGCCAAGGATACAGAATATGGCCCAAGACTAAAGACAATAACAAAAGATCTACATGTCCTAACAAAGTGTAAGTCAAAGCCTCTAAAACACAGGATGGTTAGCCAATTATTTCACTGCCCTTTTACAATAAAATTAAGGAATGGTAAGAGGACTATAGCATAATCTAGAGTCTCTACTATACATCTGCCATAAATATTGGCTAATAATAATGTTACTAGATATATAAAGAAGGTAAATGTGGTCTGGCTGGTGTGGCTCAGTGTTTGAGTGTCGATCCATGCAGAAAGAGGTCATCGGTTCACTTCCCAGTCAGGGCACATGCCCAGGTTGTGGGCCTGATCCCCAGTGGGGGCATGCAGGAGGCGGCCAGTCGATGTTCTCACTCATCGATGTTTCTATCTCGCTCATTGATGTTTCTATCTCTCCCTCTCCCTTCCCCTCTCTCTAAAATTAATAAAGAAAAAAATTTTTTAAAAAAATATTAAATCAAAATTTTGTGGTTTCAACTACATTTGAATTTAGGAATATAAAACAAACTCTTGCCCTGGCCGGTTTGGCTCAGCGGTTAGATCCTCGGCCTGCAGTCCGGAGAGACCCGGGTTCGGTTCCCGCTAAGGGCACGTACCTCGGTTGCAGTTTGTCCCCGGCCCTGGTTGGGCTGTGTGGGTGGCAGCCACTTGATGTGTCCCTTTTACATCGATGTTTCTCTCTCTCTCTCTTCCTTCCACTCTATCTCAACAAAATATTAAAAAATGTCCTCCGGTGAGGATTAAAAAAAAAAAAACTCTTGCAGAATCTTTTGTGACTTTCAAAACAGAGGGCAGGAAAAGATGCTGTTGTTTCCTTGTCAAAGTAACTCAAAAGTAAACAAAAGTTTCATGACAAACTCTTCAGTTTGTTTTATGACCTATTTTCTTTTCATATACAATCTCCAAAAAATATGTTATTTATTTATTTATAACTTATCTTAACCTGATGGATTGGAGTGAACTTCTCTTCACTTTTCGAAAATCCGTGCCTCCTTAAGGCCAGATGCCCTTCAGAGTGAGAACTGATTTTATGGAGGTCAGAAGAAGGAAAACAACTGTGAGAATCAAGTTTCAGCTCAGGAATGCGCAGCTCTCTGGCCAGCATTGCCATGTCAATGGCTCCTATGCCATTTCTGTGAATGAACCCCCAAGTATGACGCCTGAAATGAAGCCGTGCTCACGTGGCCCAGAGTCATAAAATGTTTTTTTTTTTAGACTGAGGTCATTGTTTTCAGTTTTATTTTTCATTTTAAAAATCTAATGTGTAGTAAGCTTTCATTGAAAAAGTAGGGCAAGCATATGATAAGAATATTTTTTTCCCCAAAAAAAGGTGGTTTTCTCCCCATTCCAGTTCTCTATTTCACTAGCCACTTTCTCTGGAGACATCCACTGTTACAAATGTCTTGGTTTTACTTCCTAAATAATTTTGTTATTTGTAAACAAATGGTAGTATATGCTGTCCGTAACAATAAATGTAATTAAGTACACAGTTGCAAAGACGAAAAACTTAGAAATACATTCATAGCTAATAATATCATTTCTAATTCCAAGATCTAAACCTTAATTTCAGAAAATGTGTTCCTGCATCCTGAACAATTCAGCTGTAGTAACTACACATTGTACAGCGCATTCAAAAGTATGATGCACAACACAAGCGGAAGGTTCTAATGCGTTACTTTTGAGTTGGGAGTAAAGCCACCTGGAGGTTCTGAGCTTGAAAGAAATGCCTCACCAGTAGCTTTCCTCCACTCTCCCTTTCTTCCTGAGATGGAACTCAGGCTCTGGCTCATGATCCCTTTGGAGGGACACAGGAAAAGGAAGAAGTTACTTAGGCACTATTGTTCTGTATCTAAACTAATACCTGACCCAACACATGGCATGACCCGGAGCAGAGCTGTTATAAAAATGTAATTCTCCTTTAACCCCTCCATGTAAATCATCAGAAAGCTTCCCTCAATGATTTAAACAAATTTGGTCTTTGACCTTTAGAGTCAGAATTGGCCTCAACAACTCTTTCAGACAATTGCAGTATTGACTGTTTGATGTATGACAACTACCATAAAATGCAATGCTATTTCATAACAGATCTTCAAATAACGCCACATATGCCCAAAGTCATGGTAACAGTCTCTTTATTCCAAGTAAATCAGTAGCATGAAATGCTGCAGATTAATGAAATAATGCTCTTTGTTGCATCAAGCTTGGCATCTAAGGCAGATGTGATTTGTGGTATTGTTCAACCAGTTGTAACACCTGTCAACGTGCTTCCTACAGAACTTCAAAAGGCTTCCAATAAATACCAAATGCTTGAAAGGGTTCTCATGTGTATAAGTAAGAATTTTTCTGGGTCTGCGATTTTTTTAGTACTTAACCACCAGATCAGTACAATAGTTCATAAACCAATCAGTTGCTTAATGATCTTTCTGCAAACATTCAAATCTGACAATTTGAGATACCACAGAAGACCTAAGAAACTATATTTGTTCACTTTTCTGGTGGAAAAAAAAAAAAGAAACCTAACAATATATTGAACACCTTTTAAATAAAATTCAAACTCTAAAATTAAAGCAAGATTTCCAAACAAAAATATTTTTATAATTTCTTTAGGCATTAAAATCTTGTCAAGGAATTTTTAAGAACTTCCCACTTATATAATGTATAAATATTGTCTTTTTATATAAGTAATTAAATATTTATTAATATATAATACCAAATTATATTATAAAATAAATTATTATTATAAATAATATTTGTATATATAGTATATGTTTATAAACATACATAAATTTTATACATAAATTTATATCTTTATATTAAAATAAATTTCAACATCTTTTGGAAAACAATGTTTAATAAACTGTAATACAGGAAGATATTATATTGAATAAAGTATTAAAATGTTTTGGTACTTAATAGTTCAAAAAATGGTTTTATTTAATTGAGACCAACTGGCCTCATTGCTTCTTATAAACTTTGCAATATATATTCAGTAAAAAGGAATAAAAATGAACAGATGTTTCTCCTTAAAGAATGCAGACAAAGATTTTCTTACACAATAAATCAGCTGCTAGTGGATTTCCAGGACATTGCTTCAGGCTATTTAGGTAGAAAACTTAAAAAAATAAATAAATGAAAAATGATTTACCTCTGTGTGGATCCAAAATTGATAGAGAAGATTGAACTGAAGATGAACAGCATATACTGAAGGTGGGATGACGAGGGCCAAGGGAGAGTAGAATATCTAAAAGATTAAAATTTTTTTAAAATTTGCACATATGATTTCTCAACATAACATACATTATTACTAATGATTCAACATCTGAGTATATACTTCAGCAAATATGTCTTATTCTTTCAAAAATTTACCTTATTTCTTACGTTTTATTGTCACATTTGTCTTTACAACATTAATTTTCCACATGGTGATAAGTTTGCAAACATATTAAAGTTATGTCCACTGGACTTCTATTTTGCACAAATGCTGTCTAGTTAAAATACCATAGATGGTGTGTTATTTCCTTAATCTTTAAAAGGCTAGATGTGTTTCCTGGACTTAAAAAGGTTTTCTATATTTACAAAAAATGCTCACTTTCTTTAAATAAAAAAAGAAATGTAGAATCACATGTCTTTATACCTTGAAAGCTCCCAAAGTCTATATTATAATCTGGCATTCTTAGTAATAAAATGAAATTATAATAAAAGAAAGTTATTTTATATAAGGAGAGGATAAAACAAGTATTTCCTCTCTAATTTGTTTTTATGTGATTGATTGAGGGCACAATATCTCCTCATTTTTTCAAAGTTAGCAAGGAAAGGGCTATGATATAGTGCCATAGTGGAAACAAATTTTAAAGTTTAATATTTCCTAACAGACGAAAATGTCCCTGCCTTAAAAAAAACAACAACAAATGATGCTTAAACCACAGAACTGGTTAGAATCAACTAATAAGCACAATCTGCTGTGTTCTCCTAATGACTTTGATCCCCAAGAGTGGTTTTATGTTGTAAGAAAACATCTTATTAAATAAAAAACTAAACAACAAAATAATAATAAAAAGAATCTGACTTCCACTTTGTATTTAGTAGTTTGCAGAGTTACTAATGATTCAACATCTGAGTATATACTTCAGCAAATATGTCTTATTCTGTCAAAAAGAGTTAATATTTCCAAAGTTCTACATATTCAGAAAACATTTCTTCTGAATACTGCAATTTTATTTCTAAATTATTTTAGAAGTTTCATTCTCAATTGGGCCCAATATTATCTCAACAATGTTTAGCAATGATTATGTGGTAGAAAATCTAAATTATTTTAGAAGTTTCATTCTCAATTGGGCCCAATATTATCTCAACAATGTTTAGCAATGATTATGTGGTAGAAAATTGACAATTACATAAACTCTTGTACTTTCTGTTTCTAATCTTAAGTCGTAAGAAATATCTCAACTGTCAGTTTCATTATTTATAAATGTATTATTAAGCAATTAATTAGATCAGTGAGCAACAAAAGAGTATTGGGCTCTAATTCAAGACATCCACTTTTAAGCTTTCGTTCTACTACAGATCTCTGCATGACACTCACAAAGGTTTTAAACTTCCCGGGCATGAGTTTCCTCAAATGTATTGTGAAGGGGAAACCATTTGAAATCTAGTCATCATTTTGGTTCCAAAAGATCTGTGACACTGTAATATGTTTTCTTGTAATATAGTAAAATAGTTCTCTTACAATAGGTTCATAAAACTATTAAAACACATATCTGACATATAAGTTCTTAGAGTTAAGGCTAATTTTGGAATCTTTAAGATGTGAATAAAAATGTAAACCAACTTAACTTGGATGATTAATAAATAGTTCTATTTGGAAAGAGAGTGCATGCCAGATGAATATTCAGAGTTCATTATAGCACCGCAGAGTGTGGAGAGATATACCTTTGAGAGAGCAATAGCTATTATGAAAAAGGGGGTTCTATGGTCAAAGAAGCTGTGGAGTGGTGTGTTGAACAAGTGATGTCTCTTTACCCAGGTCTTCTCAGAGCCCATACCATACCATTGTGAACCACAAACCTATTTATTAACCCACAGAATACATTCTTAATGAGTTTCCCATAGAATTAGATCTCCTAAAAACACATTTGATGAAACAATGTCTCAAATCTTACAAATCATTAAATATAATGATGAACTGACAATTAGAAAAATGAACTTAGCATGAATGTCAGAAAATCACCTTTCTAATAAGAAATAAAGAAATAGGTCAGGGAATAAGTGACATGAATCACATGAAATTTAATTTCTTGTGATTATCATAATACTGTGAAAAGAATCTAATGATGCAAAGTTCTAATTTCTGTAGCTTAGTCAATGTCATCAAGGTTTGAGAATTAGCACTCATCTTCTTCTCTACCACCAATCTTTGCATTCCAAAATTCTCTACTGTTTTTTTAAAATATATTTTTCTTTATTGACTTTTTTTTTTTAGAGAGGGAGGAAGGGAGAGAGAGAGAGAAACATTGATGTGAGAGGGAAACATCAATTGGCTGCCTCCTGCACGCCCCCTACTGGGGATGGAGCCTACAATCCAGGCACGTGCCCTGACCAGGAATCAAACCAGGACCTCTCAGTCCATGGGATGACGCTCAATCCACTGAGCCACACCAGCCAGACTCTTTATCGTTTTTCAAACCAGTTTAAATGCCATCAGAAGCCTCAGATGGTACTTATTTGGCAGAGGAAATCTCTCCTTCCTCAAACTTAAATTTTTGGTACCTGGGCCAGGGGACATTATATTATTTCCCCCGTATATCCATTTCAGCCATACATTCAAACCCATGTCATTTGCACTCCAGGGCTCTTTGGCCTTAAGGTTACCCTGTCTACCATAGGTTATTTGATAATCTCTTGATAGAAGTCATATCTAATAGGGTTTTAAAGGACAGGAATAACCCAGACCCGCATGTGTGAGGAGGGAATGAGGATAAACCTAGGGGTGACATTAGGCTAAAGGAAAGAGAAGATAAGTGAGTTTTATGTTGTTCCTCAAGTGACTGAGGCAGGTGGAGTTTTGTGTGTGGTGGGGATCATGAAGCAAGAGACAACGTGGGATTTAGGGGAAAATATAAATATTTCATCATTATGAAAGGTTTGGAGAAGGTGGCAAGAGACTGGCTTGGACCATGGCACTCAGGGAGCCTGTGTGAACCCCTGATGTCCCTATAAGAAACTGTGAGCTCTAGGGAATGTGCCATTTTCAGAAGAAACATTCTATAGCTTTCATCAGGGAGTCTGTGGTGAGTCTGTGATAAAGATAATTTAGACATCAGTCACCAGAGAAAAAAGCCATTCTAAGGTGTCATTCTAAGGAGGTTGAATTTATCCTATTCCACAAAGGAGCAGTTTTGTTGTTGTTGTTTGTTTGTTTGTTTAAGCTTGTAAGAAATATAAAAGTGGGTTTGAAATCTATTTTAATAGCCCACTGAAAGATAATGTACATTTAACCACAACAGTAGCCATGGGGATGGAGAGGCAGAATACATACAAGAGACCTAAGGATTTGGTAACTATTTAAGCATAGAAGATTAGAAGGACAAAAGACTATCAGAAGACACCCAGATTTCTAGCTTGTTTATTGAGTGATGTTCACCAAGACATTGAATGAGAGGAAGAATGGGTTGTCAAGTTCAACTTAGGAAATGGAGTCCTTGAGGTATAACCCAAGGAAGCTGTTGAGTAAGCAAATATGTTGTACAGAATGTCAACTGAACTAAAAATGACAGTGGATTTGCAGATGTGGATCACTTGGGCAGTAAGTCTGGAATCCAGACCTAAGTTAGTTTAAGAATCACTCAGAGAATCTTATGGAATAGAGGGAGAGAATACATACATCTCTTTCCCTGAGAACAAGGAACAAGTGATCTGGAGGTATTCCTTGAACATGTGGATGAGCAAGGAGATTTTATGTTATATATACATATGTTGTATTTTTTGTTACTATTATTATTATTATTATTTTAGAGAAAGAGAAAGGGAGAGGGAGAGAGAGAAACATCGATGAGAGAGAAACATCAATCAGCTGCCTCCTGCACATCACACACTGGGGATGTGCCCTGACCAGCAATCAAACTGGTGAAGTTTTGGTGCACAGGACAATGCTCAATCTACTGAGCCACACTGGCTGGGATTATATATATATATATATATATATATATATATATATATATATATATATATATATGTAAGAGATGTGAATATATTGATGGTGTATTCAGAAGGAGCCAGTTGAGAGGAAGAGGGACAAATGTCAAAAATATCTGATCAGAGTCCAAGAAAAGAACTAAGAAGCAATGTCACCGATCTAAGGACTAAACCTGCTGAAGAGAGGTGCATATTTTGTGACAGTACAGGTAAAAAAGCATGTGCACTTATGAATTTCCAAATCTTAATGAAGATAGCAGAAGAGAAATCAGAGAGAGGGAAAACCAGGAAACCTTACATTTCTCTGTGATGTTTAAAATATGTTCCTTTGCAGACAGAAGGGAGAGCAGTGGAGAAGAGATCTTGATGAGACTGGAATTCTGGAAAATCTTCTCCCAGACGGGGAGAAGGCTCACGTTCCCAGCTTGGTGAGCAGCATTGCCAGCTCAGCTGTGTCTGGAAGCTGTGTACTGAGGGGAACCACACTGTCTAGCTGGTGCTGGAAGACACCCATGGCACTCAGCAGTCGGGGCGTGGGAGTGCAGTATGTGGGTGACCGGATTCAAGCACAGCTTGGGGAATTCAAGTCAGATGTAACCGAAGGTGGGAGGCTGTGCTTTCCAGAGTCATGGAAATTGAGCCCCTCAGGTTGGATGAAGTAGAAAATAAAGCTGTAAAGCATGACAACTGGGTAAAGAGCAGGGATTGAGAGAGATCTGCTCATGAGTAAACTGTAAAGCAAAACGGTTGAAGTGAATAATTACTTTAAAAAAAACACACAAAAAACTGAGCTCCAGGGTTCATGTGTGTTTTATCTGAAGAAAGTAGTTTAACTTTACTAATATCTGCACTTCTGTGATTGTTGTTTTTATATATTACTTTAGAGACAATCATTTTTCTTTGGAATTGAGAAACTAAAGATGGTACAACCAAGTGCATTGTCCTGGATTCCTTAAGTCTGTGTTTAGTAGTGACACAGATCCAAATCCTCTGGTTGCTGATAGAGAGTACTGATCTCTAGTCTTAAAACACATCTTGAATTGTACATTT